TACGGGTGATCCCGCTGCAGGGCTTTCCCGCTGACGGCTTTTAAGTCTGCGATGCACGCCAAGGCCTTTGGGCCAAGATGGGTGAGCTCCCTCAGGTGGCGTTTTGCTTTTTGAAGGGTTTCAACGCGGTTTAGCGTGTTTTTCTCCACAGGCGTTGCAGGTTACAGCGCTGAAAGTATCGGGAGAATGCCTTTTCCTCAACACATCCTCTTTTTCTTTTAAAATACTTCACGTTCTGCAACAAGACTTAGACAAGGGGTCCCTTTGTAATTTCTGCGCTGTCCGTGCGAGGGAGAGGTATGTGAGTTGGTAGAGAATCATAGAATCATCTAGGTTGGAAAAGCCCTTTAAGCTCCCCCCGCCCAACCGTTCCCCTACCCCTGCCATCCCACCACTAAACCCTGTCCCTAAGCACCTCATCTAGCCTTCTTTTAAATACCTCCAGGGATGGGGGTATGACACAAGAGAAGCTGTCATCTGCCAGTTACGTTTTTTTCCCAGTATAGTTGCTGTCAGGGCGGTTTACTTGCTGGACCTTGTCACTTGCAAGACATGTCACTTCCCCCGCTTCCCTTCTAATGAGAGGAAAACAGTAAATTCACAGCATGGATACTGTAAGAAAGCCTGTAATCCCACAGTGCTGCACACAGCATACGTAAACACTGAGGCCGATTGTTCTAACTGAAAACTCTTCTTCTTCAGTGTCTGGTACCAATCCTCCATAAAACCAGAAGTGCAATCTTTAAGAGAAACCGCTTCAAACTGTACAACCCAGAGCACAGATTTACCTTTCTAAGAGAGCGGAGATATACATGTACCAATGTACATCTTCCTGCATTCCTTATTTCAAACTTATGGTTTCCTATGACATGACACTATTATGTGAGGCTGTAAATTTTAGTGTGACAAGTATTGATAATCACATATAAATTCTCTGTGGCAGTCAATAATCTTAGTTCCCATCTCCTGATGTCAGCTAAAGCCTAGTCTGCTAAATCACATCAATCTGATTAGAATTTATTTAATGTTATCTGTGGTTTAAAAAACAAAACATGACCCCCTCACCTTTCAGGCCAGAAGGGATGACTGGCATTTTACTAACCTCACTCTGATTCTTAACTCAAAAAAATACTTCAAAATGCACGCTGTAAGATCTTAAAATGTTACTGTGCTTGGCTTTCTGCTAAAAAAACCCCAACCCAACCCAACAGTAACAAACCACCAAGGTGTTAATGCATTTTGAGACTGTAATGTATCCAGGTTAAGTTGCAGAGTTCACTAGAGCAGCAGTATTTAGACAGCTGCCTCACGCCACAACTGTGTGTATCACCTTGGCACTGTCATATGAACCATGCAGCGTGGGGAAGAATTAAACACATGCTGTTGGCACTATTTTATCCAGAAAGACAACTGTGTAGTAATTAAAGGGCTGCATTATCCTTTACTGGACACAGAACAGAAAAAGAATGCAATTAAGACTTTTCTCCTATGCAAAACTTCTAAAACTTTAATACTTGTTAATTCACCTCCAAACACTTACACAGATTTAGCATGAACACACTCCAATGACAATGGCAAACGGGTAACCAGTGTTTTCAGCCTCCGATGAGCAATGAGCAAGAGGCCTGAGAAATCACAGTACATTTACAGAAGAAAAAATACTTGCAACTTCAAGTTATTCAACAGGTAATATATCTCTGTAAATACTGTGGCATAACTAGCACAGTTAAGTCACCTAATAAATTTAAACATATTGCCTCCTTGCTGTGTCCACAGTAGACACTGAAAACACAAACTTTTTCATGTAATTGCGAAAAGTATCTCTGTTCTCAAACAGTAACTACCGACAGTTTGCTAAGGCTGTGTGCGTTACCCCCCTCACCCTTGGCAGTGGTACATTAAAATATGGATTAGATATTTACTAACAATTAGCACTAAGTTGAAGTCAGAGGTAAGAAAAACAGTAGCATCAGCATACTGTTTGCTAACTGGCATTTGCTTACCAGACCATAAAGAACAGATACTGGGTTATTATCGTGGTTTACCCTTGGGCAGCAGTATGAATTAGAAAACTTCAGTCTGGAACAATCCTACCTTGAAGAAATACTGCCTCTAAACCCTTCAAGACAACAGTCTTAGTAGTTCTGTTAGTCACTGTAAGATACATATACGATTTCTACAGTTTGGGAAATAAATCAACTGTTACCTCCAAAGCTGCCTCAATATGTTTTCTACTACACACAGAGAAAACAAAACATTTAACTGAAAAATACAATGGCTGTGGTAGAGAAGACTCAGGCAAAGGAAAGCACTGCGAATTCCACTACTCAGTTTCAGTTTGGGTGGCAGGGAGGAAAGAGGCGATTTAAATAACAAGGTTTCAGAACGCATAGTACAACTGGTAGCTCACAAGTTGATCCCTGGTTTCATATTCATGTTACACAATTTCTACACAGGTTGTTTGGGTTTTTTCCTTAGGAAATGGCAGACCTATGTTCTCCAGTGTCTGATTTACCAGACTGCTATTGGACAAACGCTGGAGGTGTGTCTTGCCTTCTTCCACGCAGGTTACCAGAATGATCTTTTTTCTTCTGCTCTCTCCCAGGTGCGTCTCAGAAGATACACTGCAGCATGAAGTCCCCCCACGTTCACCCATACAGTCTGACCCTTGCGCCAGATGTGTCCCATTCGTGACAAGGCCTACAATCCAAAAAAACAGCCAAAGAGTGGTCGTGGCTTCAAGATATGATAACAAGGGTAAATTTACCTTAGAAGTTATTTTTGATTATTCTAAATCACATCTGATGGCAACATCAAGTGACTCTTCAGGTCCAAAACTGCGTTTAAATGTTACTAATTACTGCTCTAAAAATAGATCATCTTCCGTAACAAAGTCAGCTTACAGTTTTTTTCGCCAATGTATTTTCAAGGGTAAAAGGGTTTGATTTTCTCTCACAGAACATACCTTGGCAAAGCATTTCTTGTCCTGCGTAAGCAGCACAGCCCTGCCTGTCCCCGGTGTGCAGACCCGGCCCATCTCCATGAGGCAGGCTGGATAGAGATCCCAGTTCTTCTTCTTTGACCCTATCCTGCAAAATCAGGTAAGATCCCCTTTCTGATAACTGAAAAGTAGTTGACTGTCGTTGGTCTTTCAGACATGGATTAGCTCATACAGGATGACATTTACTGCTAATTTCAAACCACATTTTTAATAGAGAGCACATCAATACTTCTTAATTAGGCCGAGTGAAGTAACTAACTAGAGAGAACCCTAACCCTGGACAGGCAGGAGCAGCAGTTAAGCGCAGTACCTTTACCAGTGACACCTCACCTCTTTCCAAAGGGCATGTCTGTCACAATAACGTCCACAGAACCAGTCCGCAAAGGGAGATTGCAAATATCCCACTGGATGATGTCTAAGGGTATGCCCAGGGATGTACTGCTGCAAGTGCAAAGACGTTTATCTCAGACACGGTTTACTGAGAATACCTTTAAATTGAGGAGGTCTATAATGTTAGCAAAAGAATAAATAGGAAAATAAGAACAAGACAGTCCAATGCAACAAGGCATCTCTACATACAATACTACAGGAAAAGAAAATCCCTTGTGCTCTTCTCACCTTTCCTTATTCTCATTTTTCTTTAGTAAAGAACAGATGTTGTTTGCTGCTCTCTTTACAGCTTGTGGGTTGTTATCACCAGCAATATGGTAGCAGCTAGGCCATTCCGTAGCTCCCTGGGGGGAAATATTGGTAATAAGCAACATCAGCATCAACATCACTTACCTTAAAACAAAGCAAACAGAAGAATTACTCAGATATGACAGAATACAGCAAAGCAGCTGGAAGTGGATGTCAATGATTTTAAAATTCTGTAACAGGTACGGGTTACAGGTATTACGCACCTTAAAGGCTCAAAATACTTTTGGATTTAGTTTCTTCCTGCTACAGGTTTGGGAAGGGAAATGAGGTCATGTACAAAAAGTGTATTTGAGCCTCTTTGAAAGTTGGTGAGATACTTTTGGAGATTGCTCCTTCGTTATTACCAAGAAAACTGACACGTGGTAGTCAGCTGCAGATACTGTCACGTTTTATTAAGGTCAAAAATAAAGGAAGAATCACCTCTATTGGTATGGCACCTGTACCACACATGGGATCAACTATGATATCCGTCGGCTGTGGATCGCAGAGTCTGAGGAAAGGAGAAAAAGCTACAGTGAGAAAAGTCTTAAAAATGTGGATTTCAGTAAGGAAGGAAAACCGAACTATTTTAATCACTCTGATTCTACCCTTCTAACAAAAAACCTTCTCTGTGGTTACTTTTTCCATTCATTAATTAGCATTTTATCAGCATCCACACTGTGAAATACTTTCAAGAATGTGATGAAGTGTTTTGGAAATCGGCAAATTTCACAGCAAATGTTTATTAGCTGGAAAAGATCCACTGCTAATTACCAAGCACACTGTTCCCGTAACTATGCTTTTTTTTTTCTTTTTCTTTAAGAGTTAACAGAAATGGCTTTGAGGAAGCAGTGGGGGGATAAAGGATCTAATTCCCAAAACAAAATGACTTGTTAACTGAGAATAATATGCTACTATGCAATCGCACTGACCTAAGCATGCCATAAGCGAGGGTTGAACGGAGAGTTGTGGGTCCAAAATGCGTAATATTTCTTCTGTGGAGACTCTCTTCAGTTAATGCGATGCCCACGACTACTTCATTACTGTGAATATTCAGAAGAACCTAAAGAAGAAACTTGAACTAAATTCCAGGAGTAACGGAAGTTTCCCATAGTATGCTTGGTAAATCCGTGTGAAAACCTCAGACGGTAAAAACCAGGAGCTATGCAGGAAGGAGCACTCCTGGGAGGAAAGCAATGCACCATTTTAATGGCAACGGTGGACAAAATTCAGGAAAGCATTCACACATTTTCTCCTTCACACAGAACGGGAATGA